TTCTTCTTCTTCTTCTTCTTCTTCTTCTTCTTCTTCTTCTTCTTCTTCATACCTTTTTCAGGGAGAATTAAATGTTTTACTTTAAAATTTTGCATTATGTGAAAACAAGAATGAATATGCAGTGTATCACTGAAAAATGGACTGGTGGTTCCTAATTTAGCCTAGTCTCCGATTCTGCATTGGAAGTTTGWTTTTGTGTGGCTCAGACCATCTCTGCTAGATTGTCAGAAGTTCTGAAAGTGTCCTTTTGCGGTGCCGCAGACTTTTCTCAAGGTTTAGTATTTCTGAATTATCCTCTTTACTGATTTTGGTTGCTGCCTTGTGGAACTRTGTAGAAACACYTGACTTTTCTCACACTTCACCTGGTTCTGCAATCTTATCCATGAGGTGTTTTGTTTAGGAGAGCAGACTTGTATGTTTTAAGGATGGGGGTTGTAATAGGTACTTTTCCATACTGGTTTTTTATTAAGTGAATTTTTTTAAATTTATTTTTTCTCAATTGCAGAGGCTGTCTCTTCTATGGTCCACCGGGGACTGGAAAGACACTCCTTGCTCGTGCACTTGCTAATGAATGCAGTCAAGGTGACATGAAAGTATCATTTTTTATGAGAAAAGGTGCTGAATGTCTGAATAAATGGATAGGAGAATCTGAACGACAGCTTCGTTTATTATTTGAGCAGGTAAGGCTGAAATGGGCCATGTGCTCTGTCAAAGGTAAACTAATTTTTTGTCATTGACAAGCACTCACTGTTTTTCATGTTTTGTCAGTTCTGTCCACTGAGATGAGATTGCCACTGTTTCCTTTTTCAGTGGAGTTTTAGTATCTTGAAATCTTGAGATGTGTTGGGAAAGATTAGTAAAGCAAACAAGAAAATCCCACAAAGCACCATCACTACCACCCCACCCACCCCCCCAAAAAAAGAAAACCACCAACCCCAAAACAACAACCCCAACAAATTCTCAAAAAGTCACAAAAATGTTTCAAGAAGCAGGAGAGAATGGCTTTAGATCAGAAGGGAAGGGATGCGGGCTGAAGGCATGTTCATTTAAATCCGTAACAAAGGTTGCTTCCAGAACTTGTAACTTAATTAAGTCCTGTCTCCATTCTTGTGGTTGCCAAATCAATGTAAAAACTACTGATATGGTTTGTTTCTTGTCACTCAGTCTTAGTGGGTTGACACAGGCTACTGTCTTCTGTTACTCTGACAGCTCAATTAGTAGAGTCTGAAAAATCTAATTTGTGCCTTTCCAACCATGATGTTTTCATGCTGTTTTGCTGATGTCAATATTCCAGTGTTTCCATTRTAGGCCTACCAGATGCGACCTTCAATTATTTTCTTTGATGAGATTGATGCTCTTGCACCTGTACGATCCAATAAACAAGACCAAATTCATAGGTAGGACATGTTTTGTATCTACACAGAAGTGGCTTGGTCTTTGTGAAACAAAGATGGCAACTTAATTAACTTCAAGTGACACATTCCTTTTTTTTCGGAAAATTAATAATTCCATGCAAATTAATCTTGGATGATTTTTAAATGGTAATTGAAAAGAATTTGCTGATCTTGGTATCAGCACAAGGTCTATGTTAGCTTATCTGCATTTTGTTGTGTCCTAAAATGAGTCTTTTGCTAAACAGCATCTCATCATTAAAAACTTGAACTTTTTGAGTGATCATTGGACAAGATTATGTGTAACTGAAGATAATTTACTAAACTGGTGAATGAAAATAATATTTTTCTGTTAGCTCTATTGTGGGGACACTTCTGGCACTTATGGATGGCTTAGCCAGCAGAGGAGAGGTTGTGGTAATAGGAGCCACCAACAGACTGGATTCTATAGATCCTGCTTTACGAAGACCTGGGCGCTTTGAACGAGAATTCCGCTTCARCTTGCCAAACAAAGAGGTCAGAACTATCACTCAATCTTAGTGCTTATGTGACAAAGTTCATCTTTATAAAAAAGGTGCCCCTGTAACAAGACAGCATCGCAGAGCAGTGCAAGTCTCCATCCATAGTGTACAGCTTGGACACAAGGGATGTCTGGAGACATTGCATTGTGCTGTGCAGGACAGACCTTGCACTGAATATATATGATATATATATATATATATATATATATATATATATATTATATATATATATATGATATATTGAGTAATTTCAACAAATAGTTCTCTAATTAGTTTTGGTTCACTGAGACTGGTGAAGAAAATGGGACGCTGAAAGTCACTGAAATGTTTAAGAAAGAATGAATGTATGAATTAGTTATAAACTACTCCTATAACATCTTAAAAGTGAAAGTAATGGTGAGAGAATTCCTCCTTGGTAGCAACAACTTTGATCAAGGCTGGTGTTGGAGTGACTTATGTATGCAGGGATCTTAACAGGAGTTATTGACAKGGACTTGGACAAAGGTGTGAAGGACACTGCACAGATGCAAGGCTTGGGAAGTTGCTAGTTCAATCACAATAGTTAAGCAATATAAAAAGTGTATATAGCAACCAAAAAATATTGAAGTGGGGGCGGTAACATGCAAAACAGGAGACCACTTTTTGTGTTTTCTCTCTGACTCTCTCTAATATTTCWTATCACTTCTTGGAAAAAGATAAATAGGTTTATTGTATTGAAAGCACGTGCACAAAAATTTTTCTCCAGTTTTCATCGGCTCCCAGGAAGAGGAGATGAATTGTCATGGAAAAGATCTAATACATGATTCTCTACTGTAGTAGAATCCTAGAAATCTGCCATAACTGATCTGTGTACCAAGAAATACTTCATGAAATTTTGCTACATTTGAAAGAATTTGCTTTGATGAAAAATCTTCATTTGTAGATATGAATTTTACTACGACTTTTTCTCAGAATCATTAGGTCTCACACTTGGAAAAGCTCATTTTTATGGAAGATGTAAATGCCTTTTGCTTTACTGCAACCCCCAGCAAGAGTTTAATGTAACAAGCTGAGAATTATTGAATTTCCCATTTGAAGAACCAGACAGCATATTAGAAGGTTTAGCAGATAAGAAAATTACTTGTGTTAATGTAAGGTGTTTTGTGTATTTGTGTTGTCATTGTTCTTTTRAGAGAAGACTTATGGCAAACTAAAATGCAACTGTTTTCAGGCAAGAAAAGAAATTCTCAAAATTCACACAMGAGACTGGAACCCGAAGCCATCGGACAGCTTACTTGAAGAGCTGGCTGAAGAATGTGTAGGTGAGTTTGAAAACAATGTGGATTAGTACAGGTGACTTGAGTCCTACTCCTTGTACCAGGCAGTGCTCGAGCTCTTGGATGTTGCTGCAGACAGAGGCAGTGAGGAGGCAGTTGGCATGCCTTGGGAGCAAAGTTAGGTGCTCCTTTCAATTTTATTTTTGTCTCTCAGACTCCTGGGTAGGTTTGGGACATTTTTCCCAGGAGCAAAGTTTTGTCCAGCAGGCTTCAGCCTAAGTGCAGGATATCAGGCTGTAAGCCAYGTAACAGAACTTTCCTGCAGTGCAGCAACTCTTTGTCTCTTAACCTCGTAGTTTTTGACTTCATACAAAGTTTTTCAGTGTTGCACTTCAGAAATATTGGCCTTGAATTCTATTTTGTCTGAGACTGACGTAACACTTGATTCTTGTTTTGTTTATTAGGATACTGTGGTGCTGATATTAAAGCCTTATGTGCTGAAACTGGTCTCTGTGCTTTGCGGCATCGYTATCCTCAGCTATATGAAAGCAGAGAGAGACTGCAGATAAACATGGATTCAATTAAAATAAAAGCAAATGATTTTTCCATGGCCATGCAGAAGACTGTTCCAGCTTCACAGAGGGCTGCRCCTTCCCCTGGRCGAGCGYTATCTGCTATTTCAAAGCCACTGYTAGAAAACTCATTAGAAAGGATTTTACAAACCTTGCAGAGAGTRTTTCCCCATGCAGAGCTTGCACTAAAGAAGGACCAACAGCAAGGTATAACAYCTACTTCCACTTGTTTAAAAATCTGCCAAAGCAAAAGCTTGTGATTCATGCAATCAACATACTAAAACTTCTCAGTCATAGTGAGATAATAATTTTATACTTGGTGTGTGTACAGAGCAGAGTGGATCTGGCAGTGACTCTCAATGGCAGTCAAAAACTGTGTGTTCTTTGCTGGACCACCCTCTTTCTGACAATAGCTAACATCGCATTTATAATTTGTAGAGGTGAATCCAACATTTAGATTATCAGCACCTCTTTTCAAATAAATGCTTAAAGCAGGAGAAAGGTTTTTCAGGTGTCTGGGAACTACAGAAGTTGTTTCTAACCAGCTTTATCATAAAGAGAAAATCCYACAAGTTTTTGTCCACAGAGAGATAATACCTGATGCAAATCAYGGGACATAGGACAGCTTTGTAGAGACTTGTGCAATCTCCTTTGATTTGTGGTAGAATGAACTCTTCAGAAAATAGAACTGAAATGATGGAATGCAATAGAAGTGATTTTGAAGGTGTRTTAATGTGAGATAGAGATATGGACTATGCAGGAAAGTTAACAAACTTCTCTTTAAACACTATTTCAGGAAATTATGTGGTTTACAGTGATGAGGAATCATCATCAAWCTCTGAAGAGAATCCAGCTCATAAAACGCCTGATCACAAAAAGACAGAATTCTCCACTTTTAGCAGGTATGTTTGTGCTTGTTATGGTTCCATTTTAAAGACAGCTGAGTCTGTAAACCCTTTCTGTGTGAGGGATGCTGCCTGAAGGAGTTAAGAGTGTGTGTGTGTGGGGAGATCAATATTTGTGAGACATGAATGTGAAGATACAGCTGATTACTGCTGTTCTGAGTACACTGTCCTGACCCATCAAACTGAACTGTTGAGGGGGTATTTGGCTGGACCGTCTCTCTGTGGATTTAGGAGTGGTTACCTAACACAGCCAAAAGAATAGCAGACATGCTGGGGACTGGCAGGGTTCTTAGCAGAGGAAGAGTACCATTTTGTGAGAAAGGCTTTGATAGTCTTCCTGTTCACAGACCAGCTTATTTTGTGGAACAGGGAGAGTATTTACAAAAAAAAAAAAAGAATAATAATAAAAAAAAAAAACCCTCAAAGTCTGTTTTCTTATACATCACTCAGTTTTAAACTTGCTTTCTTCTTATTGCTGTAGAAATCCTCGTGACCAGCCAACATCTTACAGGCCACGGTTCATACTAATTGAAGARCCAGGATCTGGGCAAGCTTCTGATTTGGCAGCTGCAGTAATACATTCCCTGGAAAAGTTTCCAATTTATACACTAGACACACCAACTTTGTTTGCTAGCGTATCACCAGATGAAACATGTGTACAGGTAGKTTTTTTTTCTCATTAGTCTCATAGGATTAGTGTATAAACTAGTGTACTAAGCAAAATTCATTGTCAATGGAAGTGGCCTGATTTAAATATGCTGTTATGTTTACTTCTGTCTGAAAATCCACTTTTCTGATGGAATGATGCCAAGTAGGGATATTATACATAGCCATGTTTTCCATTTTGAAGTAACAGGGAGACTCTTGCTAGCAGCTGAATAAAATAGGAAGTGCTGCTAATAAACCCATCGATGGCAAGAAATCCTGCTGGCCTGAAGTGGGATTTAGAAATTGTYTTTGTTGCTTCTTAAGACTCTGTGCTACCAGTAGATGGCTCTGCATCAACCTGACAGCATGTCATGGACATTCTGTACCTTTTTTTTCTTTTAAATTAAATTTGTAGGGCAGCCAAGGTTTTGAGGAAAAGACTTGTTATATTGGTTTGGTTTTTTTAAAATATATACATATACAGCTCTTACTGTTGCAGAACATGCAAGAAAAGCACTAAAATTAATGGAATACTTAGATTTGTACAGTGTTGAGTTTTCATTAAGTCGGAAAAGGAAATATAAACAGATTAGAGCTGTTTTGCTTTTTTACTTTTAGGCAGGAAATCCATTTTGTTTTTTGGCATCACTGTATTAAAATATTTTGTTCTCTACTAGCAGCATTTTAGAGCTGTACAAGTCAGGACAGACACATAATKTGACTGGATAGTCAGTAATCACACTTGAGGAACAAGTCCTTTGCAGACTGTTAATCTGAAATGGTGCACAGAGAAATTTGTCCTGTGAAAGGACTGTTCCTCTTCCTTTATGCGGTAGATTGGTGTTGTCTTCTGTGACTGAGGCGCCATCTGTAGGCAGTGGCTTGTGATTTTCCAGAGCACATTGTCTGGTCTGATGGGTCCTTTGGTGATGAGAGGCTGTGAGTGATTTAGCTCTTCAGACAGTCCAAGGACTGGTCACCTGTTATAAAACGTGCTTGAAGTTATGGATTATAGCCAGGCCTCTTGTGCTGTSTTAGCTTTCATCTTTTCACATAGGCCTTTGTTTGTTCAGACTGTGCTCCAGTCTGAATKGGGTGTGTGCCCCCTCTGAACTGAAAATGGTGTAACTGCAGYGTGAAGTGATTTTGCCAGGAAAGTACATCTTGCTGAAGGGTTAGCTTTGGTTTTTTTCTTCAGGCACACCACTCCATTGGCTGAGTTCTCAGGTTCTTTAGGAGTTATACCTAAGTAGTTTTGAAATCAGGCAGGTCTGCTCCTGTCTGCATAGCAATGTCCRTATTTGAGTCAAAGTGAAAATTTAACCTGATTGTTAAGGAGTCATTTATTGATTTGTCTTGCCTTTATGCCTCTTATTTCATAAGACATTTTGACTGATACCTATTTATTTAGTAGCCTGTTCTACATGATGTAGTTTACTTATCTAAGMTGTAATTTTACCAGTTGATGCGTGAAGCTCAAAGAACAGCACCAAGTATCATCTATGTCCCACAAATCCCTTCCTGGTGGGAKACTGTTGGACCTACAGTGAGATCAGTTTTTACAACACTACTTCAGAACATCCCAAGGTTTACTCCAGTTTTACTCCTYGCGACATCTAATGCGCAACTCAGAGATCTCCCAGAAGAGGTATTTCAGTCAATGCTTTTCTTCCTTTGTTACTCAATTGCTTGCTAATTTACGACTCCCCGAAGCASTGGAATTATGTGCCTCTCTTAAGCAAATTCATAGACATTACTCAGGCACCCAAACSCAGCCCCTCAAAACTTGCTTAGACAAACAACTTGCTTAGACAATTTAAAAAAGTGTTTTCTGAGTAGGAATTCAGTTTGACCCACTTTTTATCCCTTCTCTCATATTCAAGCTTATTAGACAGATGTATGGGCTTGCTTCAGACAATGGYTTTGGTGGCTTCAAGATGGTTAAGTGTGTCCTGAGTAAAAAATACATGGTAGCTAGGAAAAAGACTGTTTTTCTGAAAACATTTTTACTGAAAAGTCACAGGTATTTTCACTGAAAAACTACAGAGGTCCCACTGCTATTGAYGGAATGTAATTTCAAATTTAAATTGTTTTAAAAAAATTTCAATTACTTCCTTCATCTGGGTGAAAACTCAAGAAATTAGAAAGCTAAGTTCCAATTTCTTGTCTAAGCAGAAATAAATTGGAAATTGGAAATTGTAAATAAATTTTTAGGTTATTCTTTRACAAATTCATTAAGAGGACATGCTGAGCTTTATAGATATGTGAGACTGTGCAATAGAGGAAGGTGTTCAAAATGTGAATGTGCTGCTCTGATTATTTTGTCCYAGTAACAGAAGTTTTTATACTATTAATAAGTACCTTCTAAAATAAGGAATTCCTTATTCTGGTAGTAGAAATGGAAAAACGGAACACATCTTGGGAGGTTATTTAGATTAATTTAAAATAAAATTACAGAAATGCCAAACAGTTTACTAAAAAGCCAGCACTTTTCTGGTGAGCCTTGCCATTTTCYCTGTGCAGCTGCCATAACGAGCCAAGCCAAAGGACAGCAAGGCAGGTAATACAAAATTAGCAGCCTTGGAGGTAGTGAATCTCCAATCACTCCTTTCTCAGTTGTTTATCATATAGTTTCTTCAAGGAGCTCAAAATCTAGAAGGTGTTCCTTAGAGAAGGCATTTTAATTTGTCATGCTATAAAAGCCYAGTCTTTTAAGGCCAAGAAGATAATGTTTTATGGTCTTATCAAGATGAGTTCAGTTTAATTCAGAGAGGTACTCATCTTTTTTGGTGCAGAATGTAAGTAATTTGTGAGGCCTTGTATAACTGAGGTATTTTTTCTCTTCATGTTCTAGATAAAAGCATTATTTAATAATGAATATGAAGAAGTTTTCAGAATCCCACGTCCTACCTGTGCTGAAAGAAGACAGTTCTTTGAGGACTTAGTTATGAAGCAAGCTGCTCAACCTCCTGCAGTAAAAAACAACAAAAGTGAGGAGGATATTCTGCATACAAAACTTTTCTAAACCTAGGTTAACAGCTAATCCGATATTCTCTTCGGTGATCATTTTCTATCAATCATTTTTCATATGTTTGCATATGAGTACCATCAATTAACTACAATTTTCTGGTTAATTTAAGCTTGCCGGCCTTTGGAGGTGCTGCCTGTAGCACCACCACCCAAGCCTCGGAAGCTGACAGAGGAAGAAATAAAACAGGTGGAAGAGCAGGAAGAGGATACATTGCGTGAACTTAGGATTTACTTAAGAGATGTGACTCAAAGACTTGTCATTGACAAACGTTTCAGAGCATTTACAAAGCCCGTTGATCCAGAGGAGGTTAGTGTTGACTTACAATACCATTATAGGTGTGTGTATTCATATTCCTCTGTGTTTATATTTCTTGCTGTGTGATGCTCTTTCTTGGAAGGTTTATCTTTGATGTCAAGACTGTACTATTCTGATTTTCCAAGATGAAAGAAATGAGTTTTGCTTTTACTTTACTTCTTGAGGCTCTCAAATGTTAACTGTTTTTCACTGAAAGCCCTGTGTTCTTCCTAAAATGTCTTTATAACTTTAGAATATTTTAGTTAGAAGAGATCTAGAAGGATGATCTAGTCCAAGTGCCAGTTACAACAAATGCTGACACAATTTGCCCTTGAAAAGGTTTGGATACATGGACGTGTTACAGCACTAAAAAGCAAAGAGGTCACTTTCTCTATATTTACAAATAGTACCTATAGGGCTGTTTTAAAAACAGTCTAAAGCTCTTTGATTATCTGTCAATATTTTCTGTGAGAACAGGAGTAGAAGCAGCAGTTTGTAAAATAAATTTTCAGATGCTATTMTCAGTTTCATCTGGGGCTTTCCTCAGTACATAATCAACCATAAGGGCTGCATGTTTTTTTTTTCTCCCATACACTTTSCATTACATTTATTGAATAAGTCTAAGCCAGGGGCATGTACTTCAAAGTCAGTTGTAGTTTTAAAACAGTTTTCAGCAAAATCCCATTCCCTTAAGCATCCMCTGGCTTGTCTTTTCCTTTCCTTGTAGTTTTCAAGATGTGAATAAACTATAAAAACATAGATATCCTCAAAGTCATTTGGCTCCTTCCATGCTCTCAGTAAAGAAATGGACATCTCTGGCTCTTAAGAATTCCTGTATTTAACTTTATAAAAAAAAGTTAGTCTTCGTACCTCAAATCTCTGAGCATGTATATTTAATTTGTAGGCACCCAACTACAAGGACATTGTTAAACAGCCCATGGACCTCTCAATTGTTCTCTCCAAGATTGACATGCACCARTACCTAACTGCAAGAGATTTTCTAAAGGACATCGATCTAATCCGCAGCAATGCTTTAAAGTACAACCCAAATAAAGGGCCTGCAGGTGAGGCTGTGTTTTTTATCCCTAATCTGGAAAAATGTTAAACATATAAATTGATAAATTTTGTCTKTGTACAGTAGCTGTGGGATTAGATAATTTTAAACAACCCCAGAGAGCATTGCCTGCCAGGTTGTAAGTGTTTTAGCATTAGATAAATTGTTTGGGTTTGGAATTGTGATACATGTATTGATTGYTAACTAGCACTTTTTCTTAAATAATTAACTTTTCTGTTGTTATGCTGAAAATACTGATTGAGATAACCTTTCAGAACCTGCCTATGAAAAAAGAAAACTCATTCTAAGTAACCAAAATAAAGAGTTTCATTGACTGAGAATGAAATGCTCAGACAAAACGCTCAGTTCTGACTGTAAAATTTCAGATCTTTTGAGACACAAAGCTTGTACTTTGAGTGATACAGCATATTCCATAGTGAGGCATGAAATGGATCAAGAGTTTGAAAAGCGCTGCCAAAAAATTAAAGAATCTCGCAAGGAAAGAGGTAAGTTTTTTGATGCTGAAGATTTTAAGACTTGTCTCATTTTAAGACTTTGTAACCAGCCACACCAGACACATTTCTTTGCTCTGTGAAATGTAGGAAAGCAGACCCAAAGTGTAATGAATAATGGAAGATGCCAGCAGCACCTGTAGATGCCAGTACCCCCCTGCTCTAATGGTTATGTTTTATTGAAACCTTCTTGGAGAAAGTGCTGACATCACTGATACCTTCTCTGTTCCTGTGGCCTAAGAGCAGGTTCCTGTGATGCTTGGTTCTTCATGCCAGAGGCATTAAATTTTTCATTATGCTGCTTCAAAATGTGGGTTAAATCCTGAGGTCATTCTGTCAGTGTAGTTATGAAGTTGAAGTGCAGTGGCTGCTTGACATTGTAAGAGCCTGGCCTTGATGGCCCTACTGACATTTAATGACACCCACATCTTGAATTCCAAAACATTGTCTGTGGCTGTTCTGAATATTCAGCTGGTTTTTGGTTACATGAAACAGAGTGTTYTCCTTCCCTGCCTATAACATATCTAATGGAGAACTGATCCCATTAACTTGCAGTCTTTTCTCCAGACACATGTAGGAAGATGGTACTGAGGCTCCTGTGGTTATTTTCCTTGCAAGTTAAGTAAGATGGTGATGCTGCATTTTGAAGAAAGAACTGTTTTTGGAATGTTTTGGATAACTTTTTTTTTGTATCTCTTTGTAGATAAGTCAAAAAGAAAATGTAAAATGAAGGAAGACCCTTCAAGTATTGCAGCCAAGAAGAAGAATGTTCAGGTTCCATTCCCCCAGAACGGTCTTGTAGAAGAGCACAAAAATGTGCTTCAAGGACAGCAGAAAAATGAGGCAGAAAGTGAAAGCGAAAGTGAGATCCTTGTGGCTAAATCCCCTGCTGAAAAAAAGAATCTTGTGCTTTCTGAATGCTCAGACCTAGAAGAGGAGAGTGAAATGCAGGATTGCCAGATAGCCAGAGCTTCTTTAGATGGWGGCTCAAATGGTAAGTGAAAGGTCAAACAGGTAATTTAGCTCCTTTTTGTTCTTGCAGGGGGTTACACTATTTATTAAGTTTTAGCCTCCTTGAATTTGATTCTGTTACTCCTTTTGTGTCTCTCTCAAATCACCACACAATGTTTCTTGCGTAATGATGCTGCTCCTCTAGTTATGCTGGCTAAAGTCATGGCTTTCTACAAAAACTGGGGTTTTTTTCATGGTGTGGTGTGTTTTTCAAATGGTACCTAAGCAGCCTAAGARTAAACTGTACTTTACACAGTGTGGACCCAGAGACCTGTGTGGAATAGAAGAATTATGTCCAAATGTTTGAAATGTAAGATGTGTAGATGGGTTTCCTAACCTTCTTTCTAACTTCTTTTTCCACCATGTTTGGTTTTTTTTTTTTTAACTTCATGTTTACTGTGTAGTGCTGTAGTGGCAGTATGAATATTTGTTTTTAGTTTTACTCTAGTGCTTTCTTATTTACTCTAGTGCTTTTTATCATGCCTGAGTTTCTAGTTTTTATGGAGCAGCTCGAGAAAGACAGAAGTTAAGCATTTCTTGGTAAAAAAAATGGCAAMAGTTCTGTCTGTTATTGCAGAGGGCTACTGTTTTCCAGGTACAGGATACTGCACTGATGCTGATTCCAGATAAAGAGAAATACTGACTTAAAAAAATGTGTGTAATTCCAGATTCACGAGTACATCATACAACTTGTGTGGGACATTCTAGGGTGGATGAGCAGCTGCCAGTATGTGACAGGGAAGCAAAGAACATTCCCACACGGGTGGTGTCTGTGGATTACTCTGAGCTCAGAGTAAGTCTAATTTCAATTTTGTTAATACTGAAGTAGGTTGTTTTCTTTCTACCTGTACAGTTGTAAATTAAGTTAGTTGTTAACCAATGCYAATTCAAACAATTAATGAGARGGATATATAGCTTATGGAATCATTCAACCTGWAATGACCGTTGTTTCCACTGCTGGTGTACATGGCTACTTTTGCTTTTAGTAAACTAAATTTTAGGAAACTGTGCTCTCTTCCTAAGTTTCAATGTAAAAAGACTCATTGAATTTTAAAATAGCTCACTGACAACCTGTGACWGCAGTTGGTTAGCAGTTTTTATGATGAACTGGGGAAATGGGTGTTTTGGTTTGCCATTTTCATTAATTAGGAACAAGGAAAAGGACCTTTATTTTATCAGTGATGACTTTAAACCTGAAATTAGGAGGGTAACCTAAAGATCATCACAGAAAAAATATTAATGCCTCCTTTTCTCAAATGCTTTCAAAATTCAGTGTTAGAATTTTGCATCCATACAATTACAGTGTTAAAAGGTTTTTCCAGTCCTACATGGGAGAGAAGTTTTTGACCTAGGGTCCAGTTGGGGAAAAGATCAAACATGGGCCTAGCTGTAGGGGGAAAAAAAGTTTCTTTGCATGAACTGGAGAGGCTAAAAGAAGGATCTGCCCTTCAGGAGACATAGGCATGAGAAAAATTCAGAAAATTGCTAGGTTGAAGTCCTGGAGGTTGGTTAAAAYGGAGGAAGCTGCTGTTTATCTGCCATGATGAGAAAGGGAGTATTATGTGGTTGTTTTTCCATGTGTGAGGAGAATGTAACCAGAGAGAAATCCCCTTTGGTAAAGGGCTTGCCAGCACAATTTCTGTCACATTTTTAAGTGTTGATCTAAATTGTAGAGGTTAAATCAGCTTCCTGAGATGGCTTCCCGAGGAAGCAAATTTCAGGGGGTTGTGTTGTTCGTGTTGTTCTGCCTGTATATTTGAAGAAGCCACATCAGTTTTTCTAGAATCAGAGTGCTATCARCATGCAATCTGAAGTTATTGCCTACTGACTGGAGAAATGGTAGGGCAGAGMTCTTACAGATGTTTTAGCTCATATGTGTTCCAGCTGTGAGGAGAGAGCTATAGTCACAAAATACATSTTTTAGAAGACTTGTTTCCTTAACATGGATGTCACTGGAACTCGCTGCTTGTGCCAGAGAGCCTCTCCAAAATGGAGCTGCTTGGTTTTGTTTGGTTGATTTTGTTTGTTTGTGTATTTGTTTTGTTGGAGGTTTCTTTTTTATGTGTGTTCACTTATTTGCTTGATATTAGGTGTAGAAYTCAAATCTTGTGGTAGCTGATCGAAGGGAGGCCGAGTCTGATGGCAAGCAGTTGTGAGGCAGTAACATTTGTGTTTGCTGTGGTTGCTCTCTTCAGCTGCATTTTCACAGCCTCCCACAACCCACAGCTGCTGAACAGTGCCAGCAGTGCTGCCTCTAGCTTGTTAGTRCTGCTTTCCCAGAGATTACCACATTCACATCTTTGGTAGCACAAGGAACTGTGTGAGGGATTGGTAATTTCCTACAGGCTACTCTGGTTCATCCACTCTTGAGTTGAAAGGTAGGAGCTGACGGAGTTATTCAGAGTACAGACTCAGATCATGGGGAGAGGTGAGCATCTAAGGATGCTTCTGTTTCCATCTGGCACAGCTGTATCTGGAAGATCTGTACCCTTGTTTCCAAAAACATATTTTCCAGGGCCCTTTAGTGTATTTCTAATGAAGTGTATCACTTTCCTGTGGCAGCTACAAAGTGGATCATGTCATTCCCCGCTGTCCTAGAAGCAGTTGATTGGTAGTTATGATCACTGATGTCATACAGTGATGTGTAAGAAAATATTGTCTGAAATGTAARCCTTTTTTTCTGAAGTATAGAATATTAATTTGCTTCTTCCAGTTAAATCTTGTGATACATTTAATCATTTTTCTGAAGTGCCACTTTTATTTACCAATATAAAAGAGCAGGATGTATCTTGTGCTGTTCTGAGCTATAGTTCCCACTTTTTTGCTTCAGCAAGTGCTGGATTCRGTCACTGCAGCAACTGAGAATGTCAGTATAACCCGCATGGAAAGAYTGTACGCTCTTCTTAGCCAGTGCATTTACCGGCATCGGGAAGACAATGACAAAACTGAATTAGTGAAGGTAAATTTTTTGTCTTATAGCCCTTTCCTTCACATGCTATCATACATGTGTGTGTGTGTTACGCATATATTTGTGTGCACTGTGAGTATCACGCTTTTTTGGCACTCCACTGCTTAGTTGCCTGTTTCACAAGACTTTCATTTCAGCCTGGAAGACGCTTGTCCATATTGCAAAACTATTGTTGTATGTGGCATATTTTTTGACMGTTTCAGCAGGAAAAGGCTTRAAGACAATGGATCCACCCACTCAGGCCTCTCAAACCAGTTAACCTCAGTGAATAGTCTTCTCCTGAAGTCTTTCAGGGGCAGGAGGCTGTGAAAGGAGGGTGCTTTTCTCACTCTGTCGGTTCCTCTTTTTCCCCTTTCAGGGGCAGGCACACAGGGTAATGCTTGTGTAGTAGTCATTCCTTTCTTGAAAATAAATTAAGTATGAAACATAGCAAGAACTTGAGAATTTTTTCAAGTCTCACCAGACTTTCTTTTTAACTAGCATGACCCAAGCCATAATTTAATTTGACAAATGAGGAGTTTTCTGTCTGTGACAGTTTGATGCTAATAAGTTGAATCTTCTAATCTCTGCCTCTAAGAGAGAATTTCTGAGTTGTYAGAACTGGGCAGAAATATTCCACATAGTCCCAGCTGGTCATTCCCAGTATTAAATTCATTCATTTAGGTTGGATATTCAGTCTTCAGCTTCAAGAACCTTGAATCCATTTGTCTTTCAGATGCTTGTGCCTGAGAATAGATAAAATTCTTTATGYCTCTCAGTCTGCCTTAAAAATAAAGAGCAAACCTCTTATCTTTGGCCCTGCTCATCTCATTCTCCTCTTCCCAGCTGATAAAGAGTTAGAACAGACTCAGTTCTGAATGTGCAGGCCATTCCTGAAAAATGCACCCTTCTCTCATCTAGCAAAATGATGTGGTTTAGCATCATTATGTTATCCCAGGGCTTGTGAGCTTTTGTGACTGGACTTGATTTTTTTGTTTGTTTTGTACTTCTACCTTTACACAAAAAATATTTCCTCTTCAGAGTGCCTGCATGACTTGGTCAAGAGCAACCTCTGCTGTATGAARAGAGAGACTTTAATAAGTACTTAATCAGAGGGCAGAAAAGAACAGTTCCAGCTTTTAWTTGTGGCTCTTTGGGAACTGCTTCYTTTCTCATTGTTGAAACCATCATAAATAAAGATACATAGT